TATATGGTTTTTATATATAAAATTTTTTGAAAATAAAATTAAAAGCCGGGTTGCCGGGTCACTTTAAAAAATTTTATGTTATGAGAACCGATTTATTAAATTTGAATGGCCTTAGCGTTAGACTATCATATTTCGATGTAATCATAGGTATCACAATATGAGCACATTCCGCCCATATGCATATGCCTAATAGTGTTCATAATTTTTGTACACACAAATATAATCCACTAACCTAATCACCATTTACAGTAATCCAAAACACTAACGCTAGAAACCATAAAAACAATATAATAACATTTCATTTATCTATATGTACGTAAAGTATGGCGACCTTAAAATTATTTGAACGACTTTCACAAGATTTTACACAGCTTTTAGAAAGTGAATACGATCATAATGTAGTAATTGAAGTTGGAGAACAACCAAATATTCAACTTTTTAAAGCACATTCAACAATCATATACCAACGCTCATTATACTTTCGTCAAACTTTAGTAGATACGCTTAAAGAAAATAATATGATTAAAATTAAATTACCTCATGTTTCAGTCAAATTATTTGACATTATTATTAGGTAAGTTATAGAACATTACATAATTATTTAATTTTATAATAAAATATTAATGGTTCTACATTTTTATCGTTTTTATTTATGCTTATTATATAGATACATCTATGGCGGTATAATTTATTTAGAAGTCTTGAAGTTTCAACTATATTTGATTTACTAATCGCTGTTACTGATCTTAAGTTTACAGAATTAGCTGAACAACTTCAGACTCGTCTTATTAATGATTGTGCAGCTTGGCTTCGTTTAAATATTTTTCACGTTTATCAAGTTAGCATTTTAATGAAAGTTTTGGACCTTTACAACAATTTTGCAATAATATTATTGTAAAAAATCCAAGTATAATTTTTGATTCCGATGAATTCACCACTCTCAATAACTTGTTTTAATTTCACTTTTAAAGAATGATTATTTACAAATGGAAGAATCAGAAATTTGGGATGAAGTTATTTTATGGGGAAAAGCAAAAACTCCAAATTTATCATTGGATCTTAATGAATGGACTGATGAAAATTTTAAGTCATTAAAGGATATTCTTAAACATTGTCTTCCTCACATTAGATACTTTCAAGTTCCTAGTAAAGATGTTACAGAGAAAATTATACCTTATTGTAATATTCCTGAAGAGAATGTATGAAATGATATTAATTCAAAGGTGTTAAATGCAGATACATCTATCAATTCTCTAATTTTACCTTCTCGTAAAAAAGAATTTACACTACCTAAAATTAAATTCAAATCATTCATTTATCCACTTGGTATAAATGAAAACATAAAAACGCCACCATTGACTAAGAAACTTAAGGGTGATGAGCATAAAATGGTTAATTATGAACAAAATTCACCCTATGAAGTAGAAGTAGAAGAGGAAATTAAGTATGAAAATGGCATTTCTCATTTAATTTGGTTTTTTGCTCATGCAGGCTATGAATATAAAAGACCTGCCGCGTGGATTCCGAACACTCCTATAACGCATTATTTCCTTAGTAATTTAGGAAAAAAGGTTGAAATACCGTTACTAAACAAATGTTTGATAAATGAACACACAACATATTCAATCAAAGGTACTGAAGGCGTTTTGCAAACAATCGAAAAAGGAAAATCTAATCTTGACTTGGTGTTAAAAGCACTAATAATTGAAAATGAATCAATAATTGCATAAAGGTAAATGTTATCCGGCAAAAAGTTTCAATTTACAGTAACTTAAATTTTAGTACGTATCGCATTGTTATAGCTATTTAAATTTTTTAGTATATTTTGTAATACTATAACAATTTAAGGTTTTTTTGTTGTATTTACTGTATTATTATAACAGAATATTTTTACTCTCATATTATTTATGTTATTGTATCTGATTTAAGGAATTCTTAATTTTCTTATTTTATTTTATTGTTGGTAATTATTTTACAGACGAAATGCCATCCTGACCGTGATATATACTATATTCTGCGGAATAAAGTACGTACTGTACATACCAATTTTTATTGAATCTATTATGCCGAAATAATAACCGAATCGGCCGAAAACAGCTGTAATAAATTTTAGAGTTTTATTATATAAATATTATAACTATATATTTCTATATTGGGTTTGTAAGTCTACATAAAAATTTTATATAACATTTATATAAACTTGTAAATCTACGTACCTATATTTTATAAAAAAAACACTTCCTGATGTAATCAGCGTATTAAACAAATGCGTGAATATGCTTGTTTTGTTCAAAATGCATCAAAAACGTAATTTTTGTACCACAATGCAGAGAATTAAGGACGCTCCATATTAAAAACTTTGTGACAAATCGGGTGACTGGTAACGAAATAGAAATCCTTAATGTTTTTTCTTATTTATTGTTTGTAACTATTTCATGGAGAAAAAGCATTTTTTACCGTGATATATAAATTTGGATATGTATCATGTAGTTATTTAAAGCAGCAGATTACAACAGCACTGGAACTTGTTTGCATATGATTTATTAGATTTGTGCGCTTAAAACCGATCGTACAACGATTAAATAGCCTAATATCTATCACGATTTTCAAAAGTCGGATACATTTAACACTAAAAATTGTAACATAGAGGTTTTGTCTTGGCAAAACTGATCTTTTATTTTGGTTACACTAAACCGTCAGAACTTACAAAATTCCAAAATCGAAAATTTATTTTTGACTAACCCTTTTGCTGTGTAGGAATATTGGTAGTCGTTCTGTGTTGCAAAAAAGATTCATTTTTTACGACGTAATAATTCGACTTTTTTCAATGAATTTTTTTTGGAATACTTTTTTTATATTTAGTCTTATATATTCTTATGGAAATTGTCGACCTCAAGCCCGTTATGGTCAGGCTAGTGCGCTTGTAAATAATGTATTTTATTTTTTTGGTGGAACTAATGACACAAATTACTTTAATGATGTATGGTACTTGAATTTGTCGAGTTCATTCAATAGAAGTGATCCACAGTGGTCTCAGTCTGATAAAATGCCAGTAGCTAATTATTGGGGTAGTGCATGTTATGGCGATATTAGCAAATTTATTTATTTATTAGGTGGAAGAATGTTTACTCCTAATACAAATAAAACTGATTTTCCTACAATTGGATATCAATTTAATCCTAATACCTCACAGTGGACACCGTTAAATGTTATTGGACTTAATGATTCCTTCAAGTCGCGTAATGAAATGCAAGCTATTAGTCCTAGTGGTGATACAACCATTTATATTTTTGGAGGATCTAATAATGATAGTTCAAATATTACTTATTATAATGACATGAATAAATTAGATTATAGTAGTATGAAATGGAGTACAGATATAAATTATGTTGGCTTTCCTTTTCTAGATTATGCTGCTGTAGTTTTACCATTTTATAGTGTTATTATATATATTGGCGGGAGAAAAGTTAATGGTAATACTCTAACTATGGCCGAAATGAACAATGTATATCTTAAATTTGTACTTTTGAAATTTTAATTTTTTAACATTGAGCAATAGTTTAACATTAATTCCATTTAAATCAATCTAGATTCAATCATTTGACCTAACTTTCTCAATTTGGCAAAATATAGTATGTATGAAGTATCAGGTATGTATAAAAAACGTACAATTTTGGAATAACTAATTCTATTTTTAATAGACTGTTAATGGTGCACCTATCGAACCCCGAGTCGGGCATTCGGCTGTTTTAGGTTTATTATTCATTTATTAGTCTTGTTTTTATTTACTTTTAATCATTGATATATTTATTCCTTTCTATTCCTTTCTATTAGCTCAAGATGGAAATGTTATTGTATTTGGTGGTTCAAAGGATAATAAAAAAACGTTTGGCATAGTAAATCCTCGTATTGCAATATTAAATACAACGACATGGACATGGTCGTCCGTAAACTTAACAGATACTCCAGATCTTACGTATCACTCTGCTGCAATTTATGAAAATTTCATGATAGTTGTATTTGGTAATTACAAAGTTATATAATTTTATTCATTCATCTTTATATATTTAACCGATCTCTTATACCAGGGCGAAATAGGAAAAGATATTCTAATAAGATTTATATTTTTGATACTCAAAACTACAAATGGGTTACATCATTAAGTCAAGAAGTAACGCTAAATCAAACAAACCAATATAATTCAAATGATAAAACATTGAAAATCGGAATTGGTGTTGGTGTTGGTGTAGGTGGTGGTCTGGCTTTACTTATATCAATATTTGTCATTTATTATAAATGCATTAAGAAAACGCCAATGTTAGAGGTTGGATCCTCTGAACATCCTTAATGATTCACTGGTTAAATACATGCAATTCAATCACTGATATTTCATAACATTTTGGAGGGGAATTGGCATCTAATTTTGGTCAATAGTTAAAAATATAGTCGATAGTTAGAAATCTCTAAATGTATACAAGTCTGCAAAAATTTTTTACAAATGGATATACAGTATAATTAATAAAATATAAATTTATATTTTTTTTTATTAAAAATATTATATAATTATATACAACTACTACAATACTATTTTTTCTAATATTAAGAAACCAAAACGACATCAAAAAACCAAAACATCAAGAAGCTAGAATGACATCAAAAAATAAGAATTTTAAGAACTAGAATAATATATAATTATGTAGATCTAGTAAAAAAAAAAATAAAAAAAAAATAAAAAACAAGTAAAAAAATTAAAAAAAGACAAAAAAATTAAAAGTAAAATCAAAAACATATATTTATTATTGTATATTTTAAATATAAACATTCAACTCTTCTTGATAATCCTCTGGTCAAATACAACAAAAAAACTGAATTACTGAAAAATAATATAGCAAGACACAAGAAATCAATATTTTTGGTTCTACATGAAGTAGATGTTTGTTGACAAACCAAAATAGATGTGAAATACTAAAAAGCAGGCATACTTGTAGTGGTTTGAAGAAATGTCAAATTTTTTGCCTTGTAAACTTCTTCTTTTGTTTGTTATCTAAACCAGAAGGTTATTCTAAGAAATATTGTAGCAAAGTTCTTGTTAGAACTAATGGGTCCTTGAAAAGACTATTATATAACTATAAAACTTATATAAAAAATCATTTAATTAAAATAGAAGCTAATTGACTTTGTTTATATTTTATATGATTTATTAAAAAATTTTTTAAATAATTATTTTCAAATTTACAAAATTGGTGTAATATTTTTTACTAAATTATCTAAATGAGATCTTTGAATTTAAATTTTATATTACTTCAAGAAAATACATTAGTATTTTTTATTATATGAGATAATTTACAAATAAAAGAAATAAAAATTTAGAATTATATTATCAAATAGGGAATCACACAAAATCTAGGCTTATTATCAAGTGAACCAGAAAATTGGACTAGTAAAAACTTTCTGGCTTTAAAAAATATATTACAAATTGTTATCTATATTTGATATTTTTAAATATTTGAAAATAATATTGTTAAATATATAGAACTATACTCATAAAAAGATATTCATATAATTGGTAGTTTAAATCAAATTAATTTTACATTATTTATACAGTTTAAAGTACTTTTTTAAAAAATAAAACTATGAAGAATAAATATAAAAGCAGTATATAGAAATTTTTATTAGAGTTGTTATACTCTATTATTAAAAATAATCTAAATTCTTTTTATTTAAAGAAGTTAGCATAATAATAATCTAATTCTATCTATCTTTAAGAAGTTGTTATTATGCTAACTTTTTTAAAATCAGAAATGATTTTGATTAGTTTTAATGGTTGAGTCCTACAACCTTAATAAACCTTTTTATATATTTTTTTTGTTTAAACTATATAAATAATTTAAAATTAAATTATTTAAACTGCTAATTATATGAATACCTTTCTATGAAAACCATACTATATCATCTAATTTTAGATAGAGATCTTTGAAATAGTATAATAAAATAGCAGTAAATCCAAGTCGACAAGTATTATTAACAATTCTTCTACCTTATATAGTTTTGATATTTACTATTATCAAAATGCATGACAAAATTATTTTTAGTAGTTGTTAATGAAGCATATGTAGCCAAAATTGCAACATGGCTGATAAAAAACAAAAGTATATCTAATAGCAAATAATCTATAATCCATATAAATTTAAATTACTTTTTTGTAGTATTACTAATAAAGTGATTCAGAATTAAGGTTTGAGATTCTGATTTTGAATTAAATTAGTAATGTTCTATATTTATTTTAAAATTAATAATTTATAAATCTTGATTTTTTAGTTTATATATAATAACTTTTATGAACATAAATTTTCTTTTATATTTTAAAATGCTATATATTTCTAATTAACAATTATATATTAAAAACATAAATAGTATTTTAGAAGTAATAACAAAAAAATTCTAATACTGTAGTATTCATAAAATATAGCTAATATTCACAGAAAAGAAATCAATAAAATGTTAAAACTATTGCAAATAATTGAATTAGATCAATATCTTATTATTCATAAAAAAGTAATCAAGTTTTATAATATTTTCTCAAGCTTTTTTCTTTAGTAGTTTGTTTAAAAGCTTTTTTGGAAGGCATATTAAATATTAATAATTTAAAATAAATAGTAATATTCATGTTACTTAAGAATTTTAAAAAAATTTTAATAATTTATTACAATAATATTATATAATAACAATA